AAAAAAACCTAAAATATGCATAACTACGAAATAGGAGGAAACCCCTCAAGAATCATACAGTGGACATTTAGGATCAAAACCAACCAAGATAAATACTTAGACATACGCAGGATTAATTCACAATCAATCAAAACATTTAATTTGCCAAATAAATCGTGTTCTAATAAATTCATTCAAATATATCTCACAATTCTTCAATCATTAAAGTTTCCCACCCAAAACAATTCCAGCTATATATACAGAATTCCACCACCGAGGCAAAATCAACACCATATGTGCCTTTGGCCACAGCATTATATAAAACTATAAATAGTTCCTACAGGAATCTTTTCAGCACTCCTTCTAAAATTAATCAACATAGCAGTTCACAAGTGGAAGCAATACTCATTACATGTTTACTTAATATGATGAGCAGATGAAGATGTTTATGCAAAGACACAAGTCTTCCATCCATGAGGAATGTGCTCTCCATGCAAGCGTTTTGTCTGATTATTCTTTGGAAATTTGTATAATCAATAGCTAGAGAAGCTTAATATTATGGGAATACTTCCTTAATCCTAATTACACAAAACAAAAAACACTTGTTACTATAAATAATTGAGAATCATGGACAATAAATGCTCCTCTTGATTTAAACATCTATCCTATAACTTTTTTTGAACAGATTAACAGTTCTTATCAGCTACATCAAGCATTTCATCTCTTTCAGAGACAAAATTCCCTAAAATTTCAATAGCTGCATATTGCATTGGCTAGTCTCATATATGGAACATTAAGAGCTAGAAAACTAGTTGCCAACCAGCCATTGTAAAATGTTACTCAAATGACACAAGATAAAAAGAAAAACTTCATTAGGAGTCACCACCATACATTTTTCTTTTCTTTACTTTTCATTTTTATCAATTGGTATTTTGGTACGCTAATAATTAGCACATATCATCAATAAATGCGCTTCTTGACGGAGTTTGAATATCAGATCGAACTTTGGAAATGACAAAAGGAGGATTGGACTGAAATAATTAGACCTCATTTGCAGAAAACTAATATAACAAACTACCCTTCCAATACAAATGTGCATGCTCCCGTTATTTATAAAGGCATGACTGAGGTGCACCTCAATTGAGGAGGTAGAAAATAGTACTGGGCCACAATGAGGCTTATGCCTTTAGTAGTTGAGGCATAAACCTTAAGGCGCACGCCTCTGAGAGAGAGAGAGAGAGAGAGAGAGAGAGAGAGAGAGAGAGGGGCATGCTCATTCGCCTCTCCTTAATTATCCAGGAGAACATTCTTTAAAGGTTTCATATTTCATTGGTTGACTTCATTGGAAATCTACTATATATTAAAATAGCTTGGGAAATCTATTATATTTTAATAAAACTTACCTAATTCTTGATTATAAGCCATAAATTATAGTTGGAAATCCATTATATGTCAAAACCTAAGCTATGGATAAAAATACACTACAATTTCAAACACAACATTGCAATACTAGAACTTCATCAATCCCGCGAAGAAGTGACATCAGGTTAGTCCAAAAAAATTTCTATTTTATTTTTGTCAAATATTGTCATCACTTCTTTTTCTTGCTAGTTAACTATTTTGTATTTTCGTATTTTTCAACTATTCATCTGGTAAAACGCCTTAGAACCAGATTTCACCTTTTCACTGCACACTCCATGTTCAGATATTCAGGAAAGAACACTACTTACTGATTTGACAGCAGGACAAAATCAATAAAGTTTTTCTCATGGAGACATGGAGGTCCAAGCTTTGCCTCTAAAACCGTAATTTCCATGCCTCTTCTCAGGTTTCACCACATTACTTCCTTGTCAGATTGCAAACAATCACATCTGGGAAAAATAAGTTCAATAAAGTACCACTATGCCTTATCCATTCACCTCCTTTGTATGAGAACGATCATGCGTTTAACCATATAGTTCCTGTTTACCTCTATGCCTTCAGTTATGTATTTTTTTATTCTTGAAGTTAAAAGAGAACAATGTCCTCTCTTGAACAGCCTTCTCTTTTCTTTGATTTCATGATCAGTGAAGATTTAAAAAAAAAAAAAAAGGGCCTAATATAAGACTGGCCAACAGCCCAACACTATTTGCATTAATTTCAAAGGTAATTACCCATGTCAAAGATATAGACGGCTAGGAGCACCACCAAAAAAAAGGCAAGGAAAAAGTATTCACATGCAAACGTACTCAATAGATGGATCCCCTGTTTAAACCTAAATTTATTCTCATCACCAAAAATAACTGGAAACAAATAAAAAGGGATCCAGTTTTTCTTTATTTCATGTAGTATCTTATACATTATACCTTAACATAGAAAAGCAATTCAGAAAGCAAAAGAAGGACGGTATACAAATACTATGAAATCATAAATGTATTTCACTATATTAATATCAGGTAAGCACAAAAATCAGAAACTTTCGCAGTTACGCATTATACAAGTCGATCGTGAGACAGCATTGAGAACTAATAAACTTCAAAACATGCTTAATTTTACCACTAAAAGAACCCTGGTCCAAGGGAATGGGAAATACGATGGTTTGTACATTATGAGATAGAGTATTTTGCATAAAGATGGTAACTGAAGCATCATATATTGTAATTTTAGAAGTATTTAGCGTTTTTTTTCCTTTTGAGACATATAAAATTCGAAATGAAACTATACCGTTCGGAGATGTACTGTAGCAATTCATCGGTGGCGAAATAGTCGATGTAGATGTCAGTCAATTGGCCCTCGCTGCGATCCACTGCGTGACGGCACATGGTATCCAGGTACTCCGACATGAAGTCATGATATTCACCCAGGTTTTTCATGTCAATTACACGCCACATGGAAGGGTCCTTGCACACATTTCTCCACGTAGTACAGACTTTCTGTGCACTCTCCAGTATATCGTGTGCCCCCAGCCGGTGCAGGATATCCACCGTCACATCTCGAGGCAGTTCTAGCCACGGAGACGGAGGCGATGGCTGTCGAGGGGCCGATGATGCCGCCTTTGCCCGTTTCTTTTTGTTTTTTAGCCTCTTGAGCTTTAATTTCTTTTTCAGATTTTTCCCCATTGTGATTTAGGGTTGAAATGAAATGTTAAAGACTGTGGAGTTGTATTTATAACCGTCGACGTCTTGACTTCCCTTATAAGATAATGCTCCATGTATTGACTTGCTATCAATGAGAATATAAAGAAGTCGTGAGTATTTCCCATCATACGTAGATTTAATATTCATAACAATGCAAGTTACAAAATCATAGACATATAATAAATTATATATTTTACTCTTAATTTCGTTATATTATATAATATTATAATTAAATTCCACTTCAAGATGAGTTTATTAATTATGCACTAATATTAGTACAAGCATAAATACCTGAGAGCTGCTGCTTGTAGAGTCCTGGGCCCACACTAATCAGTGTGGGCTGTAAAATGTAAGGGGAAAAATTCTAAATATCTATCACGTAAATCACACGTGTTTTTACATTATTTCTAAGAACGTGACTCTTTAGAGAACTGACTTTATTCATATTAGATGACCAAAAAATTGATTCTGGTGAGTATGTAAATGTATATTATTTCAACAGAATAAACTCGTAGCACCAATTTATATATTTGATATTTTTGCTCATTTTTTGTGAGAGGTGTTAAGAAAAATTGCCACAAAATGATGCACAAATTAGAAAAATCGACTTTTATATTTGTCATCAGTCTGTATAATACAGCCCACTCTATTAAGTCAGGCAGCGTCTTGAACCTCCAACCTAGTTCTCTTGAAGTGCATGAACCCAAATATATTACTGTGCGAAAATCCGTTAAAAGCATAAAAGAGTATGTGTACATAAAATAAACTCAAAAGAAATGACATGTTTAATAGGGCGAATACGATAATATCGAACCGCAATAGACAAGAAACGCAAACTTAAAATCTCAACTATTTATAATATCAAGACCTATGCAATACCTTGTACCATACAGGGGCCGATGTGGCACCCCCTATAGGCGGGTCACTTGTCCCCTTAGATATTACAAATAAAAATCTTCGGGAGTAGAAGTGATTAGGCATCATGTTTTCTTTACCCTTAATCAATGACCTCTTTTTCATCTTCATCGTATGAAGCACCACTGCCATCAGAGAACTCCAGATAGTTATCATAATCGAACACCATGTCAATGTAGAAAAATCCAGATAGGTTACCCTCAGCAAACGACTCCCAATTGTCAACTTCAACATCAAATCCATAATCATTAGTTGAGTCAAAGGGACGTCTCAGATCTTTAATACGTTGAGAACATAATCTTCATAAATTTCCTCTAGGTGAAACATTAAAACATTGGCGTAGATCAAGTGATTTCAATTGAAGATAGCCATCCGGAGTGGCATGCGGGCCTTCATTTTAAAATCACACTCAACATCCGAGCGTAAAAATCCTGGGTTATTCAGTTTAAAAGACTTTAATAGTGGGCAGTATCGGATCTAGAATGAACCTCGACTAGGACGGTCGTTAATCGTTGACCATCGACAGTCAACGAGCGTAATAACGATGTCGTTTATTAATATTTAATTAAATAATATTATAGATTGAACATAAATTAAACTAAATTTTAAACTATCATCAAATTCCAATTTTCAACACCAATTTATCATTTATCACAAATCACATACTCAGTCCACATATTTCACATATTCACAAATTTTCCAATTCTCATAAATCATAATCCCCAGCAGTAGACTCACAATTATAATTCATAAAACATAAATTATAAACCATAAATCATAAATTATTTCCTAATGAAAATGGCATCCAAAAATTAACTTGAAAAAAAGAGAGGCACATACAGCAACGACATGCAATGGCAGAGACTTGGCATCGGCGACTCGATGGTAGCAAATCACAACTTATGCACCACTATCCTCGAACTGTAACATCAACCAGAAAAAAAACGTAAAGCGAAGTTAGAATCTGTACAAATGTTAAAACTAGTAATAGCAAAGATTAAGATGAGTTTCCATAAAATGACTAATCAAGAAAAAAACCCAGTCACTCACATCACAAAGTTGATGGCTCGATGATGGCGTCGGGGCTACGTGTGGCAGCTGCAGGAGAAAAATATAGGGTTTGGATTTTGGATTGCGCCTTTTACCTTCATATGTTTTTAGCAAAATGCAATTGCATGAATGGGGGCTGGGATACAATTCAAAGCAGCACTGAATAAATTAGTGTACCTAATTTTTTTTCCCAACAAACTCTTTTTCCTCCTTCCCTAATCCATTTCGGCTTCGAGCTTTCTGACGGGCAGCAACTATCTGCAACAATGGTAGCATCCAACTTTTAAGGTTTGCTAGAGCCAGCATGTGCGACCGCACCACCTCAGCAGTGCTAGCTCCGCCACAACAGTGGGCAAGAACGTCCAATAATTTTAATATCTTCTTTGTCAATGTAAATGTAATATAAATACAATTCCTCCAATAATGGGAAACTTTTAATGGCTTCAACCAGAACTTCACTTGTTATATTATAGCAACATACAATTCGAAGCTGTCTGAGCTCTTGGAAAAAATTAATATAAAGGAAATAAGGAAAATCAGCAATAAGTAAAAACATGTTTGAGCCCCATTTTTTTGTTAAAATAAGTTTTGTAAAAGTGATTTTTAAGAAAATGTTTGCTTACAAAGTAGGACAAAATTTTGGGTTTACGTACAAAATTATTTTATAGGATTAATGTGGTTAAAAATGAGTTTGGAGAAAAATGAGTTTTTAGATAATGCATTTCTCCTCTCTTCTAGATAAAGCATCTACCACCTTATAATGTATCTTATAGCTAAGCCCCAAAATTTTGGATAGCCATTTCAGTTGCAAAGAAGCAGTAATCCTTTGCGCCAGCAGGTACTTGAGTGATTGGTGGTCAATTTTGATGATGAAATGGTGGCCTTCAAGGTAATGTCTACATTTTCCCATAGCTATTACAAATGCCAGTAATTCTTGTTCATATATTGGTAAGCCCAACTCCTGTTGTTGATGCCCTTACTCAAATAGGCTATCGGCCTCTTGTCTTGCATTAATAAAGCCCAAATTCCTCCATAACATGCATCAGTCTCAATTATAAAGGGCACAAAAAAATCTAGTGCTGCCGTGCAGGTATAGTACTCATAGCCTTCTTTAAATCTTGGAAAGCCAACGCAACAGCCTCGCTCCAATTGAAGTTTTCTTTCTTCAGTAATTTAGTTAGAGGTCTGGCCATGGCTCCATACCCTTTTATAAACCGCATGTAGTACCCAGTCACACCTAAGAATCCCCTCAACTGCTTGACGTTGGTTGGTTTAGGTCATTCTTGCATTCTACTATCTTGGAAGTGGTCAAGTGCTACTCATTCCACAGAGATGATATTGGCCATGTATTCTATCTTGGACTGCCCAAAAGAGCACTTGCTCTCCTTAGAAAATAGCTGTGTTGTTTAAGAAGCTCAAGCACCATAGTAACATGCCCACGATGGGGTTTTCAAGTCAAGGTTGTAGACTAGGATATCATCAAAAAACACCAGAACAAACTTCCTAAGATGCTCCTTAAATACCTTATTCATCAGGCTTTGAAATGTAGTTGGGGTATTTGTAAGTCCAACTGGCATTACTCTGAATTCATAAAGGCCTTCATGAGTTTTAAAGGTTGTTTTAATGATATCCTCATCTGCTACTCTGATTTAGTAATACTCAGCCCTCAAGTCATCTTCGTGAACCACTCTACCCCTTCAACTCATCCAACAATTCATCAATTAATGGCATAGGGTATTTGTCTTTAGTTGTGAGACTATTCAACTGTCTATAATCTATACAAAACCTCTAGGTTCCATCTTTTTTCTTAACTAGCAACACAGGGAAAGCATAAAGGCTGTTATTTGGCTGTATTATCCCACTTTCCTTCATTTCTTTGACTATTCTCTCAATCTCTATCTTTTAGATACAGGGACATCTATATGGCATAATCATTGAACTTGGGTAGTGGCAACCCTTTTGGTTCCAAGAAGATCATGGCAAATTGATTCACTAAAGCTCTAAGTTTAGTTGGGATAGATTTTTGTCCCTTCTCGGTGATAACAGAGATCATAGCCATCAACCTATACAGTTGATTCATAAACCAAACCTTCTTCTCAGTATTAATCATCATTTGGAATTCTTCATTGATAGCTTCATTTTTTAGTTCCATCTTTGTACACCTCATTAGAAAAGGTAATGCCCCCTTTAATGAAATAAAACAACACAAGGCTGAATTGGCTCAACCAGTCTACTCCAAGTACCATATCACTCCCTCCTAATTATAGCACCCTTAGTTGGTACTGAAACTCTAGATCATGTATTCTCCATATTATAGCTCTTGTAATGTCCCAAATTTTATAGTCTTAATTTGGTTGGTGCAACCCATTTAAGAAATAAGATATGGAAGCTTAGCCCATTTAAGGTTATGAAAGTACAAGCCATAAGTTATTTATAAGCCCAATACTTTAAGACATTAAGTTTAAGTAAATTTGATTTCAAAGATTTAATGAATAACTGGGTTGTCACAATGGTCATCTGCATG